AATCTGTCAGCCATTTTCTGTACGCAGCAGCTTCTTTCGTCTCTCCTCTGAATGCTGGACTTGGAAACGCCTACTGAGTTACCAACAAAGCAACTGTCCAATTGTAACTCACAAATGATTTGATTGACGTATACTTTCAAACAATGTAGCACATTTGTAATACAGTGTAACTTACTGTTATTAAGAGAGCACAGGCATATTTGCTGGTTCCTTAACCAGCAACACCCACCCTCATATGACAATCTAGGTCATTTAGTTTAGCCTACATTTATATCCCAAACAAATGCCCACTCATGTACACTTTGTTAGATTAGAAATAGTATTATTTTACTTTCAGCTGTCGAAAGAGAGCAGTAAGGTATTCATTACATTATTACTTTGTTATTACAGCTCAATGGGCGACTACACATTTCCACAAGCACTACCTGGATAACAATTAAGCTAGGTTCCCATGCCATCTCGTGGCCATACATTGAATAGCGTCAAGGCCACACAAATCAAATAAAAATTGTCACATGCTTAAAAAACAACAGGTATATCGTAACAGTGAAATGCTTACAAAAAAGTAATAATAATAATAGAAAAAAATTGTAACACGAAGAATAAATACACAATGAGCAATGATACAGTAGCTTGGATATATACATGGGGTACCAGTACCGAGTCGATGTGCAGGGGTACAAGGCCGCATCCACCGCTCACTCACACAACACGTACACACAACTATATGTACACTACCAGTCAAAGGTTTGGACACACCTACTCATTCCAGGGTTTTTCTTATTTTTACTATTTTCTACATTGTAGAATAATAGTGAAGACATCAAAACTATGAAATAACACATATGGAATCATGTAGTAACCAAAAAAGTGTTAAACAAATTAAAATATATTTGAGATTTTTCAAATAGCCACCCTTTGCCTTGATGACAGCTTTGCACACTCTTGGCATTCTCTCAACCAGCTTCACCTGGAATGCTTTTCCGACAGTCTTGAAGGAGTTCCCACATATGCTGAGCACTTGTTGGCTGTTTTTCCTTCACTCTGCCATCCGACTCATCCCAAACCATCTCAATTGGGTTGAGGTCGGGGGATTGTGGAGGCCAGGTCATCTGATGCAGCACTCCGTCACTCTCCTTCTTGGTAAAATAGCCCTTACACAGCTTGGAGGTGTGTTGGGTCATTGTCCTGTTGAAAAACAAATGATAGTCCCACTAAGCCCAAACCAGATGGGATGGGGTATCACTGCAGAATGCTGTGGTAGCCATGCTGGTTAGGTGTGCCTTGAATCAAAAAAATATCACAGACAGTGTCACCAGCAAAGCACCCCCACACCATAACACCTCCTCCATGCTTTACAGTGGGAAATACACAACCGGAGATCATCCATTCACCCACACCGCGTCTCACAAAGCCACGGCGGTTGGAACCAAAAATCTCCAATTTGGACTCCAGACCAAAGGACAAATTTCCACGGGTCTAATGTCCATTGCTCGTGTTTCTTGGCCCAAGCAAGTCTCTTCTTATTATTGGTGTCCTTTAGTAGTGGTTTCTTTGCAGCAATTCGACCATGAAGGCCTGATTCATTCAGTCTCCTCTGAATAGTTGATGTTGAGATGTGTCTGTTACTTGAACTCTGTGAAGCATTTATTTGGGCTGCAATTTCTGAGGCTGGTAACTCTAACAAACTTATCCTCTGCAGCAGAGGTAACTCTGGGTCTTCCATTCCTGTGGCGGTTCTCATGAGAGCCAGTTTCATCATAGCGCTTGATGGTTTTTGCGACTGCACTTGAAGAACATTTTAAAGTTCTTGAAATGTTTCGTATTGACTGACCTTCATGTCTTAAAGTAATGATGGACTGTTGTTTCTCTTTTTTTGGTTACTACATGGTTCCATATGTGTTATTTCATAGTTTTGATGTCTTCACTATTATTCTACAATGTAAAAAATAGTAAAAATAAAGAAAAACCCTTGAATGAGTAGGTCTGTCCAAACTTTTGACTGGTAGTGGACATATAGTTGTGTCTACGTGTTGTGTGAGTGAGCGGTGATGCAGCCAGTCAAGATGCTCTCAATAGTGCAGCTGTAGAACTTTTGGAGGATCTGAGGGCCCATTTCAAATATGTTCAGCCTCCTGAGGGGGAAGAGGCGTTGTCGTGCCCTCTTCATGACTGTGTTGGTGTGTTTGAACCATGATCGGTCCTTCGTGATGTGGACACTGAGGAACTTGAAGTTCTCGACCCGCTCCACTACAGCCCCTTCGATGTGAATGAGGCGTGTTCGGCACTCCATTTCCTGTAGTCCACGATAAACTCCTTTGTCTTGCCCATGTTGAGGGAGAGGTTGTTGTCCTGGCAGCACTCTGCCAGGTCTCTGTATTATACTAAGCATAGGTGATTTTATTATGTTGAAATGTTAAAGTTCTAAATCAATAGTTGTTTAGTAGTCCGAAAATGTCAGAAACAGTAACTCGCTTGACCATGCTGTAGGTCATGTAACTGTTCCCTACATGCAATATGCTTTGTGGACTTCGCCGGACAGATGTTGCACTACGGTTTTGTCATGAAACACAGGTGTGGTTGAATTTATTCTGGCACTTTGCCATTTTACCCCTTGATCACACCGACAGTGTTTTTTGCGCAAAATGGTACGCAGCATCATCTGGATATGTGTGCAACAAAAGTTCAACATTCACCTTCTGCTACCATTTCTGTCAAGTTCTACACATACAGTTTGACGCATACGTTCTATAAATCCAACATATGCACCACACAGAACGCACTGCAACTGCCTATCCAATGCAATGCTGCAAGGCAAATGCAGCATTCCATTGCAAATGAATGTACCTCTGGTGGACCAAAATGCAACGTTACTGTCGGTGTGATCGAGGCGTTAGCATAATTGCATTTTGATTCACCAGAAGTACATTCATTTTCAATGGAACGCTGCGTTTGCCTTGCAACATTGCCTTGCAGCATTGCCTTGCAGAGGCAGTTGCAGTGCGTTCTGTGTGGTGCATATGTTGGATTTATCGAACGAATGCATCAAACTGTATGCGTTGTGAGCTTGACAGAAATGGTAGCAGAAGGTGAATGTTAAACTTTTGTTGCACACATATCCAGATGATGCTGCGTACCATTTTGCCTAATGAACCTGTAGGTATCAAGGTGTTAAGCCTATATACAGTTGAAGTCGGAAGTTTACATACACTTAGGTTGGAGTCATTAAAACTCGTTTTTCAATCACTCCACAAATTTCTTGTTAACAAATTATAGTTTTGGCAAGTCGGTTAGGACATCTACTTTGTGCATGACACAAGTAATTTTTCCAACAATTGCTAAAAACAGATTATTTCACTTATAATTCACTGTATCACAATTCCAGTGGGTCAGAAGTTTACATACACTAAATTGACTGTGCCTTTCAACAGCTTGGAAAATTCCAGGAAATTATGTCATGGCTTTAGAAGCTTCTGATAGGCTAATTGACATCATTTGAGTCAATTGGAGGTGTACCTGTGGATGTATTTCAAGGCCTATCTTCAAACTCAGTGACTCATTGCTTGACATCATGGGAAAAACAAAATAAATCAGCCAAGACCTCAGAAAAAAAATTGTAGACCTCCACAAGTCTGGTTCATCCTTGAGAGCAATTTCCAAAAGCCTGAAGGTACCACATTCATCTGTACAAACAATAGTAGCAAGTATAAACACCATAGGACCACACAGCCATCACACTGCTCAGGAAGGAGAGGCGTTCTGTCTCCTAGAGATGAACGTACAATGGTGCGAAAAGTGCAAATCAATCCCAGAACAACAGCAAAGGACCTTGTAAAGATGCTGGAGGAAACAGGTACAAAAGCATCTATATCCACAGTAAAACTAGTCCTATATTGACATAACCTGAAATGCTGCTCAGCAAGGAAGAAGCCACCGCTCCAAAACCATCATAAAAAGCATTCTTCAAATAAAGTGGTGATCCTAACTGACCTAAGACAGGGAATTTTTACTAGGATTAAATGTCAGGAATTGTGAAAAACTGAGTTTAAATGTATTTGGCTAAGATGTATGTAAACTTCCGACTTCAACTGTATCACGGTGTCAAGGCATATGACAGGGATCATCTACTAGATTCAGCCACAGGCCGATTTTTTATTGAGCAGGTGGTTGGGGGCCAGAACATAATTACAAATAATTTGTAGACTGCAAATTGACCGAAAGAAGCCCAAACACATATGTTTGACTAAAACATAATCATTTCAAACCTTGCTTACATTTGTATACGATCACGTTGTGTCTCTCTATTATGCGTGGGAATACGTTGGAACAGATTTCTTAAATGAAAATCACTTGGAGTTGATTTCCTGGTGTTTCTTTTGACAGTATTTTATGTCCAACAATGAAAATTCCACACACAAGTTTGGTTGTTGTTGTTTTTTTCCTGGCTTCCCCAGTGATTTTACCCACGCACTGCTACTGATAGGCCTACATGCTTGCCCTTGGCTTTATGCACGCTTAATCGTTTCGCGTGCTCATACTTGTGTGCCACAGAGCATAATGTCATGCCTTGTCAGAGAAACCTCCACTAGCGCTTGGATTAGCCTGGGCAGCCGCTAGTGGTCGCTATGGATCCTCACTATCCATAGCTTCCAATAGCGGCTGCCCAGGCTACAGTTCAATATAATTTAGTTGAGAAAAGTTGTGCCTACATTGTGAAAACATTTAGGCTGCGTTTAGACAGGCAGCCCAATTCTGAGATCGCCTTTGAAAAACATCTGATGTGATAAGATCTGATGTGATTGGTGAGAAAATACAAATGAGAGGAAAAAATATCGTAATTGGGCTGCCTGTATACACGCAGCCTTGGTATTTTAGTAAAGTAATTGTACACAAGAACCACACACTTCCTCCATTTCATCCTAACTTCGATCATGTACTTTCGATTTTCATATCCACACCCCTCTGATGACGCAATCACAATTGTGGACTTTTTTTGCGGACTGTGTAGATACTGAAAACAGCCAACGCCTTTTATATCATTTTAAAAACAACAGACTTGAAAAAAGGTAAGTCAATATGAACTATACAGATATCAGAATTGAATATGGCCACAATATTCTTAACTTTCTTAGCAATTGGGTTGAAGTCCATTTGAAATGGCGGAGGAAAAGGAGGTGAAGTGAAGTCGCGTCAACATGTTCTCTCGCCCATAGCATAATATAATTTTTATGAAACGTAATTACTTAAGAACTTATTAGTTGTTACATTTAAGATAACAAATGACGCAGGTAGATGTTATACACGAAGTTGCCAGATAGGCTATTACAGTAGATATTGCCAGATATTACAGTTCACGGCCTGTTGACGATACTATCTTCTGACCCGGGTGTTTTCTTAAGAGCCGCTGACGCTTGTTGAACACACATCGCTTGCGGAAAGTTTTTTGGAAACATAAGGAACGTATCTTCTAGATCAGCGAGAACTAATTTTCATAAAACAAAAGGTTAAATTACTACACACATTTAAAGGATATATCTCCATGTTTCATCGCTTGTTTATGGAAGACATAGGTGGCCGCCTGTGCTAATTAGCTATCTAATGCGCTCCGAACACCAGTGTGTAAGTGTAACTGGGGAGGAAGTGTAGTTCCTCAACTGGAGGCACACACAGCTTGTGGATCTGTACAAAACTCTACAGTAAGTGTACCTTTTTTATTTGAAGGATTCTTTCGTGCCTGATGTGAAACATAGGGGGCATATCAACATATGTTTCGAAAAACCGGTTTTCAAAGTGATGATTATTGACTTTTCTAAACGTTAAAACACTGCATCGGTATTGAATACTGAACAAAATCTAAACGCAACATGCAACAATTTCAAATATTTTACTGAGTTACAGTTCATATAAGGAAATCAGTCAATTGAAATAAATTCATTTGGCACTAATCTATGGATTTCACATGACTGGGAATACAGAGATGCATCTGTTGGTCACAAGTAGGGGTGTAGATCAGAAAAACCAGTCAGTGTCTGGTGTGACCACCATTTGCCTCATGCAGCACGACACATCTCCTTCACATAGAGTTGATCAGGCTGTTGATTGTGGGCTGTGGGAATGTTATCCCACTCCTCTTCAATGGCTGTGCAAAGTTGCTGGATATTGGCCGGAACTGGAACGTGCTGTCGTACACGTTGATCCAGAGCATCCCAAACATGCTCAATGGGTGACATTTCTGGTGAGTATGCAGGCCATGGAAGAACTGGGACATTTTCAGCTTCCAGGAATTGTGTACAGATCCTTGCGACATTGGGCCGTGCATTATCATGCTGAAACATGAGGTGATGTCGGCGGATGAATGGCACGACAATGGGCCTCAGGACCTCGTCACGGTATCTCTGTGCATTAAAATTGCCATAGATAAAATGCAATTGTGTTCGTTGCCCGTAGCTTATGCCTGTCCATGCCATAACCCCACCACCACCATGGGGCACTCTGTTCACAACGTTGACATCAGCAAACTGCTTGTCCCACATGACGCCATACACGTAGTCTGCGGTTATGAGGACAGTTGGATGTACTGCCAAATTCTCTAAAATGACGTTGGAGGCGGCTTATGGTAGAGAAATGAACATTAAATTATCTGGCAACAGCTCTGGTTGACAGTCCTGCAGTCAGAATGCCAATTGCACGCTCCCTCAAAACTTGAGACATCTGTGGCATTGTGTTGTGTGACAAAACGGCACATTTCAGAGTGGCCTTTTATTGTCCCCAGTACAAGGTGCACCTGTGTAATGATCATGCTGTTTAATCAGCTTCTTGATATGCCACACCTGTCAGGTGGATTGATTATCTTGGCAAAGGAGAAATGCTCACTAACAGGGATGTAAAAAAGTTTGTGGCAAAAATTTGAGAGAAATACATTTTTAGTGCGTTTGGAAATTTTCTGTGAAGTTTTATTTCAGCTCATGAAACATGGGACCAACACTTTACACGTTGCGTTTATATTTTTGTTCAGTGTAGTTCACATGGAGCCCAATGTTGGCAAATGTAACCACTGAAAACCCTACATACGGAGAAAAAGATTCTGAGAGCTACAGTCTGTTTCCTATAAGTGGACCTATTTAGACCACATACCCATTACGCCCACTTCCATCTTTGCATTCAAAGAAAAAAAGAAACATTTTGCACTATTTTATGTTTCAACCAGGTCATGTTTTTATTCTAAGCCAATTAAATGTATTATTAAAGTTATTGTCAATTTCAAAGCTGCAAAAAAAGCGCATTTTCAGTTTGTCTATATTTACGGAGGTTATAGCATAGGCTAACCAATTCTAAATGGCACTAGCATTTCACAAAGTAGCCTAAGTGGAAAATAGATGGGATACAATCTTTCCAAAACTGCAGCTTGTTGTTGGAACATATTTCCCTACTTCAATCAACCAGTCCATTTTGAATTTGTGATAAAACTGTCATCATTTGGTAAGGAATGTATCCCATCAGTTATATGCATTTTTTTCTGTAGGTTTATCGGGAGCTTGTGTGCGCAGGAAGTGGTCGGAACACAACTGTGTGATGCTTGGCTTGGTTTCTTTTTTGTTGTGCCCTGCAAATGCACATGTACAAATGGAACACTAGAGTCAAAGCAAATTAAAGTTGTCTTCAAGACAAAATAAATAAAACAATTGGGACAACATTTTACTTGCCCGTTCGGGCAGCCACAAATCACATTCCACCAAATAGTTTTACAGTATTTGAAAAAGAAGTGATCTCTGGTTAAAGGTCGAGCTTTGACATCCGTTCGAGTACTCGATTACTCATGCCCATCCCAACTTGAATAGCCTATATAGCCTATAGATCAGATCAAGGAGCCAAGCGACAACACTGCCCCCACGGCTGTGGAAGGAATGATACGGCGTGTCTCAAATTTTTTGGTAGTAAAAAAAGTATGTAAAATGCCGGAGCGTATTACAAAGAGATGCCCCATTTGTGCCGAAAACCGACATTGCAACACTCCGAATCGTGCGTCTGCATAGAGCTTGTAGTAAGCTTAAGTTGTTAGCTTCTTGCGATCAAGCTCCTCTTGGTAACAGCAGAGAATCCCCTCCTGGATCATAAAGCTACTTCCATTCATTTTTTTAAACCGGTACCTGGTTACCTTCAGACTAATCATGTGACACTTGTGGGGGTCATAGAACAAAAAAAGAGAACCCCATCAGTGGGGATTAAAAAGTGAGTATACGCAATGCCCACTGAAAACATTGTGGGTGTACGGCGTATACCTGCGTATAGCCCCCACTACACCACTGGGCTAAAGTCTTCCACCCAGTGACCAGATGCGAACCTGATGAAGTGACAGAGAAGCAACCCATGTCCTTCTCTGTGTCTGATGCATTTTTAGCCCCAGATTAAATAGGTGTGCTTGTCTTTCTGATGTGTGAAGGATGTGTTGCTATGCACAGAGGCCTTCACCCCCTCTGATACCCTGCGTCACTCACTCATTGAGACATTAATTTTGGATTCCCATGAGTTGCTTGCTAGTCACTGAATGAGTGCCTCGGACCAGTGCTTTGTGAGGGGCCCAGAAGTACTGGCAGGTATCCAGGTATGGCGTAGGCGTACTGGTGTGTTAAATTAGCCAGGTCCTGCAGGAGATGGAGCCCTCGGCTGTCCTTACTCAAGCCTCTGGTATTCTGCTAATCTGAGTGGGCGTATATGAGTCAGTGGTCATTGTGTGTCTGTGTGTATCCATCCTGAATCTTTTCAGCAGTTCCATCTGCAGCAGTTCCTCTATTTGTTCCTTTCTTTGTTGTATCCTCTACAGTCTACATTCACTCCCCCAGAATCTAGCTGCCATTTTTGGATCCCCTTTCCACACCTCCTCCCGTTCCTGTCCTTTCTGCCCCCACATTCTCTCAGTTCTCTACCAAGATTCCAACAGTCCCCCACCCCTCTGCTCACTGAGTATCATGCTCATGTTTTTCATGCATGTGTTTTTGATAGGTAGTCGAGAGGTCCTCAAGCACAGTTATATTGTCACATTGACAGTTAGGCCGGGGCCTATGTTGTTATAGCAAAGTTGTTACATTGCTGTAATAACACAACATAGAGAAACAAAAAACACAATCTGCACACAGTTTGCCAAATGCTGAGTACAGCTAAAGGAGGACTTACTCTATATATCACAATGACTTGTCCCTATGGTCAGAGTGGTTTTCTGGGCTGTGGAGTGCAGCGCTACAACCTATCATTAGTCTGTAGTTCTCATAGTTTAACCTCTTCAAGAGGTTTTTAAGAGGGCAAATGACTTGTGAGTGATCCATCAAGGCCAGAGGATGTAGGCTAATCCCAGGATAGAAAATGATCACATTAACTCTGTTTAAACGATCACAAGTAAAATATTTTATATTAAAGCAAGAGTCAAGGGTGATGATAAATTCATATAGGCTATTTGCTTTAAGCTGTCACTCACTGCTATGATTTGATACAAGAGTTGGCTGTTTGACATGTCCAAATGAGGTCCCTGTTGCCCTTTAGTGGCTCTGTTCTAAGTAATTTGTTGTTCCTCTCTCAAAAAAAGAGGAAACCAAAAAAGGAAGTGAGATTATCCCAAACTCAAAAAGGAGGCTGACCTTTTCCCTGCTATGAGTTAAAACCTCGCAATTCTCACATGTCAATCTGATGTTGTTTTATTTATTAAAATTATTATAATAAGAAGGGAAAACAGCAGGGGCTAAAGGTCGGGAGTTCAACACCCACAACTAAGAATCATAGATGATAGATTATACAGACAGAGGGGATTGATAGCTGCATCATTGATTTATGGGAGCTCATAACTTTGGTTATATGTAGAACAGAAGCATGATGTTCCTGTGGACATGATTGATGCGACTACTCTGGCCTGATGGGATCAAGTGGCTTATTCATGCATCATCGTTTGCTTGGTATTTGACCCTGAGTGTGTTTTAAGAGCATAACCCTGAACCCAGTCCCCATTTTACAGCCCCAATGTAGCACAATGAGAGGCTTATTGTGGCCAAAGATTATAAGAAAGTCTAGTAAATAACTAACACGTGGCCCCTTGCTTTGGGGAATTCATTCTTCAGGGTTTGTTGTTTTGGGTCCCAAATGAACATTTAAAGAGTTAGCCGGGTTAGATTTGGACACTGTTGGGTGCCCTTTTTAATAATGTGCTCTAATTTTCCCATTATTTAGGGAGAGTGAAAAGGTACAGAAAGAGACTGAGCATGAGAGAGAGAAAGCACAGAAAGAGCAAGCCAGCCCTGCTGCTGCAGGGAAAAGAGGGAGGGGGGATGTGGGGAAGTGAGATGGATTTCCCGTAAATCACCATCAACCAATCACAGCTCCTACCCAGGTTGGCAGTGGCCCAGTGGGATCAAGCGACACCAAGCAACCGAGATACACAGCAAAATTACAGAGTGAAGTAGAGAGAGGGAGAGAGAGAGTCAAAAGAGACCTGTATTACAGAGAGTGAGTTATCATTTGTAAGGATAGGGGTATATACTAGCACAATATTTGACTTTTTTGAGTTTAGTTGAGTGAAAAACGGATAACCAGAAGAGATTGCAGACCTGCAATTCAGACCTGCCTCTGTCGGTAGGTCTATGTTTCCTTCCTCAATGTCTGTTTTTCTGTCCAGTTCTTTGTCAAAGGGCCTGTTCTTACTTCCGCCCCACTTGACTTCAGTTGGGGTGTGGTGCTGTGTTTTGGAGGAGGGGTACGTGTGCGGAGCTCTCGCTTTAGCAGGAAGCAATGATCAGTGAATGAGAAAGCTGGTGCGCCTGCTCAGAGTCTGGGTTAGACAAAGTGTGTGTGGAGGATGGGACAGAGAGATGGACAGGAAAGTGGGGAGTTGACTCTCAAGGAAGCAAAATTCACTGAACAGTGTGTGGAGTGTTTTATTTTAATGCTATACAGGTTCTAAGAGATGTCTTACATGATTTGCATATGCGGGTATAAACAGGGTAGTTGAGTATTTACTTAGCATTTACCCTGGCAGTCAACCTGAGCTTGGTCTGTCATAAAGGGAACAGGGCACCTGTCTAAGGGAAGAGCAAAAGTGAGGGGGAAATATAAACTCCTGTGAAGTGCAGGCACACTGATGCAACATGCAGCAACCCTAGCTCTACAGCTCTCAGCTTACAGTGTACACTAAGCAGGCCTAGGTCCAAAGCCTCTCTGTCATTTCTCTACTGATTTAAACATGATCAGACAAGGATCTGAGTTTTCATTTGAAAGACAAACTCCATGCTTGATGCTTGTTAACTGACAATAAATACATGAAAACAGCATACACCTATATCATTGGTATGCAAACAGAAATCATGCCATGTTTGACCAGTCTAGCTCATTGTATCTTATCCCAGCAGTTTTCATGTGTATTTTATTTTGCATAGAGGCTGTCAGAGAGTTCAAGGTGTTTTGTGCTGTTCAACTTATATTGCGCCCTCCAACACAAACACCTCCTTCTATTCTATGGAACTGAGGCAGGCCTGTTCCTTGAACATGCCATGTAGCAGTCTTTACAACACGACTACTTCCTGGTGTTAACTACACAGTTGTAACTGTCAAAACAAGGCCGTGATCGAGTTTCCTGTCTCATTCGCTCACCGCAAAACTTGAAGTTTCAGCAGAGAAGGAGTTGCGATCAAGTTTCTGTGTCAAGCATACACTTCCTCCATGTTGAGAAAGTGATGTTTCAAATCAAATTGTATTGGTCACATGCGCCGAATACAACAGATGTAGACTTTACCATGAAATACTTACTTACGAGCCCATTCCCAACAATGCAGAGTTAAAAAGTACCCAAAATATTTGCTTTGGAAACGAGGCGCAATACAAGGCAGAGATCATAAATTACTAGATTTACTTGTTTCACCGCCACACAAAGGCGGCCATTGTTCCATTCTTAGCAGGTGCGAAGTTCAGTTGACATGAGGGAGGATCTTTGCAGAAGTTAATAAACTATACTGGGGGTTTTGATTACCCAGTCGCTGTCCCTGCAATCACAAGCTCTGCTCCGCTCTCTGCTAATGGACAGGTGTGAGGATCGCTTAGATCAGCAAGTTGGTTGCTGTGGGATGTGCTTCAACTGAAGTGCTGTACACTGAGCTTTTCAAGGATGGACCGTTTTGAATAGTCCAACCAACAGCGAAGTTAGTAAACAGGATAAAACCGGGGCCTTCCGGGTTGCGCATACACTAAGGCAATGCATCGCAGTTCTAGCTGTGTTACTACAGATCCTGGTTTGATACCGGGCTGTGTCGCAGCTGGCCGTGTCCTTGTCCCATCACGCTCTAGCTACTCCTGTGGCGGGCCGGGCGCATGCACGCTGACACGGTCGCCAGGTGTATGGTGTTTCCTCTGACACCTTGTGCGGCTGGCTTCCGGGTTAAGCGTGCATTGTGTCAAGAAGCTGTGCGGCTTGGCAGGGTTGTGTTTCGGAGGACGCACGGCTCTCGACCTTGGCCTCTCCCGAGTCCGTAGGGGAGTTGCAGCGATGGGAGAAGACTCTAACTACCAATTGGATATGACAAAATTGGGGAGAAAAAGGGGTAAAAAAAAAAAAAAAAAGGATAAAACCATGTTTTAATCTGAATTGACATCATTTTCTGTTTCCTTCTCCAGCAGGTGAGATGGAGGTGAGTCAAAGGATCTTTAACTCGACCAGACCATTCTTAGATTCACCCCAAATAGAACTGAAGGGGTCTTGCCCAGGCCTCCCCAGCCCAGCAGGCAGGACGAGTGACGAGGAGGGGAAGGAGAGCAAAGGGGACCTCATGGGTTGTTTGAAACCCAGTGTATATCAAGTCCTAACACACGGCACAGCAGAACAAGTGGGTGAAGCAGGTCCGCTGAACCATCTGAAGTGCTCGATCATAGCCCAGGCTGTATGTGAGTATATTAAGGACGGGGCGATACTCGTTTTTATAGGATTAACTGCAGAGAGAGAGAGAGAGAAAATGGCACCAAGCTAACACCTGCTGTCTGTGCTTCCCTAGGTGAAACCCAAGACTCCCAGGAGTTCAGCCCTTCCTGCTCCAAACGCTCCTATGTCGCATCCCCCAACTGCTTAATCAACCGGTATGACCTCACTTATCCCTCCATAACACACTCCATCATTATCTCTCCTTCCTTCTTACAGTCTTCTGTTTTCGTGGCAGTACTCTATTCACACAGGCATTGCTGTTGTGTCTTCCACAGGGCCTCCTCAGAGCACAACAATGTGGCGTGTTCCACCGCAGCCTCCAACCAGGACAAACCAGGCTCCCCGGCCCACCACTCCCCCAGGAAGAAGCTAAGGAAGAAACAGAAGAGGAAGGAGAAGAAAGAGGAGGAGAGGGAGACAGGGAACCAGAGACAGAGACGTAGAGTGCCTTCTGGTGTCCCTGAGCAGGAGAGCCAGACTGGCAGTTCTCCTCAACTGATCCAGACCCAGGTAAGATGAGCACTCTCCCTGTAACATCCTACCATCAGACACAAAATGGATGACGTTGAACTCTAGTTGAACTTGAAGTGCCTTTCTTGTGATTCATAGTCTGTAGTATGAACCGTAGACGGTCTCATATAGTGTTTGAGCTTCTATCAGCAAACATCCTAGCACAAACATTAGCATTCCAACCAGGAGGAAGTGATTCAGAGAACTCTTGACTGTCTGAGACAAAGCTTCATTTCAGGTGTCCATAGTCTTGAAGCCTCACCCACACAGATAGTTGTCAGTGTCAGCATCATCACCTGGAGTTGAAAGCTCTTTCCTGGCAGACAGTCACCTTTAATCACCTGGGGGTTGTTGTTTTTCTCCCCTTTAGGAGGACGCTTCAGAGCCCCAAAGATGCCAAAGTAACATCAGCACTTTCTGCAGTAGCAGTATCCAGAGTTTAGAGGTGCATGACACAAGATGCCCCCCTTACCCCCTCCAGGACTGCAACAGGGGCCCCAGCCCTCCCCACCAAAGCTGGGGCCCCCAGGTGTTTAGCCCCCCCTCCAACCTCTTAATCTATGGGCAGGAGAGTGACTCGGACTCTCCTCTCAGCAGTGTGGGAGACTGTTCACTGGCCCTAGCGGGGCTCAGGGGCAGTGTCAGTCAGGAGGACCGATGCTATGCAGGTCCCTTCTGCAAAGACGTGGAAAGGGATGTCAGGGAGGAGGGAGAAGTCTCAGAGACTGACACCAACGAGGGCCTGATCTTCAATGAGGTAACTTTCCAGACTGCAATAGTTGTCGATAAAGGCAGTTGTTTACTTGTGGCTTTTTCTGATTCCTCCTTATTCATTCAGCCAATTGTTCTTTCTCATTTCCTATTAGAATATCCAGCCTGTCAATTATGAGTACAGGGAGGGGAAGGACTACATCCTCTGCAAGTCTATCAACACAGGATCATACGGGGAAGTGTGCAGTGTGCAAGACAACAGAACACACTTCAGATTTGCCGCCAAAAAGGTACAACAGCACTTACACTCTTTGTGTATACATCATCTGTGTGTTATCTCTCGCTATTGATAACTATAGAACTCTCTCCTTCCTCACAGATTCTCCTGAAAAGTTTTAGTAGTGAGGAAGTGGGTACGTGGAGTGCCCTGAAGTCTCCTCGCGTGGTGGAACTCTTCGGAGTGATCAGAGAGGGGCCCTACGTCATCCTCTTAATGGACCTCAAAGCTGGTGAGCTATATACTATACTATACCTTGATCTCAGGCAGTGACCTAGATACTAGTGATGCGCGGGCCAGCTGTTTGTTCACCCGCTCCCGCCCGCAATTGCTAATAACCCATCTGCAACCGCCCGACTATATGTGATAAAGTGAAAATTTGAGGCCCGACCCTAACCCGCTAATATAGAAAAATGCTGTAGGCTACAGTCCAAGACAGTGGAATGATTTTCTCCTGATTTTAGTTATGTTTCTACTTATAATTTCTGACATTTTGGTAGACTATTTGTTAGTCAACTTGTCTATAATTAGATACATGCAGCTTCTCTTCTGTCATTATATGTTGCCCTAGAAGACTAAATAAACCCTTCCTCACCAGAAACGTAATAAATTATAGAATGAATGCTTCAATCTAGTTGACATCGGTAAAATAGTTTTTCTCTGTCATCTTCTTTCGTGGAGCAAAGATGTTTAGGGACCAAAACATAAGGGAATGATTTTCTGTGCTAAATTTCCAAATGACATCAGTTTGACCCAACATGTTTCTGATAAGATTTCAGTTCGGCTTGAATGCCTCTTTTATGTGGTTGAAATACTATCAGCTTTTATGATGCTGATAGAGATAGATACCATCTGTACAGGTACTAACTGAGCATTCGCATTCTCTCAAAATGCTGAAATAAATAAATCATATTTCTCCACTCCTGTTCCTGAGTCCAAATTTTGCCTACATTTGGTTTATCATTTTACTGCAAGAAATGCTTAATTCTGCAGGAGTTAATATTAAGGCAATGTGAGAGGTTATAGACCTACAGTCAGTGTCCAGATTTCAGTTTCCATTTAACCCATCTGAACAGTAGGCTACAGTTCCCTTGAACTTCCCTATTTGAAGTCCTCGTCTTGTGACTGTTGAATTTGGATAGCGCCTCACAATCATCACACTTTTACCACTTCACCAAATCTTTCTCAAACACAACTTTTCTGGCCCTCCCTTCTCTTTATTTTCAACTCTCCATTTCACAGCTTTTCTGTTATTGAATTAAACTCTGACATTGGCACGCGTACAGTTAGACCCCTAGGTTTATGCACTAATGCCAGATAGCCTAAAATGATTAAAGAAAAACCTCAATGTAGCCTATAGATATAAATTGCGCAAGAATTATAAATGTATGAATTTTTTTCAAGGTATTGTTTCTCTTTATTCAACCGGCCCGCCACCCACCCGCCCTTCATCCACACAATATTTAATGATCTGAAACCCGTCCGCCCCGCATATATAACCGCGGGTTATGAGTCAACCAGGGCATCACTACTAGATACCTCTGTTACAGTTTCTCGAAGGATGCCTCTAATTACCACTATGATTTTGAGGTGATTTTCCATCACCCACTGACCCCTCCTGCCCTCTTCTCTATTGTCTGCTTCTAGGCTCTGTGGGTCAGCTTATTAAAGAGAGGGGTCGGCTACCTGAGGACCTGGCCCTGCACTACCACTGTCAGGTCCTGGGGGCGCTGGAACACCTGCTGAAGAGACGAGTGCTACATCTGGACATAAAGGGTAGGCCGAGACATGAGATAATGAAAATGGCTGACTTATGAACAAAACTACAGCAGAAGGTTAATAACACACATGGCAACTAAATGTCTGGGCACATACACTGACTCTGGTGATGACACTAGGCATTTTCAAACTAGGTTTGATTATGGCGTTTGATTATGGTAGCTATTAAAACAGTAATTACAAGACTTGTGTCTTGACAGTCGACACATGTAAAGAGCAATAGAAGAAGCAGACGTTCAGGATATTCATATTTTGATTCATATTTTGCCTTGGTGAGAGTAAGTTATTTCTCGGCTGTTTTTGCAGTTGTTATGTGGAACACAAGAGTCACAGATCGTGTCTTGATCTCGAGCACCTGTGTTGTGAAACCAGAGCACCACAGGCTGAGAACGCGCCAAGCCGGGAATTTCCCACAGTGTGACTCACCGCTGCTCTTTAGAGAGGGCGCATGCGCTCGCCAGCCAGAGAGGGAGAGCCAGAACTAGAGGAAGAGATTAAGCGAGAGAGCAAAGGATAGACAGTCGTAACCGCATGGCTCAGTGCTCAGACGCCACCTGGTGTCAGACATGCCACACCACAGGCACAGATACAACAGGGAGGTTTGGCCAAGTCACCTGCTGCCTGTCTATTATGCTATAAGACCCAGATTCATTCTTTCCCCAACAGCTGTTTCTTAATAGCCAACATGACTTGGATTTGACTCTCTTTTCCCCCTGGCTACCAGAACATCGCCCTGTCTGCATAGCTACAGTGCTGCTAAATATGGCTGTCTCATCCCAGGATTACAGAACAACAATAACCGAATCCAGCATATAGCCATAGATTAACATGCCTTCCTGTGTGTGTGTGTGTTGCAGCGGACAATGTGTTGCTGTCAGAGGATGGGAGGGACACCTTTCTGTGTGACTTTGGACACTCGGAGAGAATGGACATTCGTGGACAGAGCCTAAGTGCATCCCAAGGAGGTAGCAAAATATGAACTCAAGCCTCCACTATGAAATACAGAGGGTTTGACCTGGTTGTCATGTCTAAATGTATACTCTGTGTATGTGTGTGGGAGCAGATCTGAAGGGGACAGAGACTCATATGGCCCCGGAGATTGTGAAAGGGGAAACCCGCGGAGCCAAAGCAGACGTGTGGAGCAGCTGCTGCATGTTACTGCACATGCTCATTGGCTGCCAGCCCTGGACACGATACTACTCCCGCCCACTGTACTTCAAGGTATCATTCAACACAACACCACCCTGTCTTCATACTTGACATGTGACACATACTGTATGTAGCTACAGTGGGGGGAAAAAAGTATTTGATCCCCTGCTGATTTTGTACGTTTGCCCACTGACAAAGAAATTATCAGTCTATAATTTTAATGGTAGGTTTATTTGAACAGTGAGAGACAGAATAACAACAAAAAAATCCAGAAAAACGCACGTCAAAAATGTTATAAATTGATTAGCATTTTAATGAGGGAAATAAGTATTTGACCCCCTCTCAATCAGAAAGATTTCTGGCTCCCAGGTATCTTTTATACAGGTAACGAGCTGAGATTAGGAGCACACTCTTAAAGGGAGTGCTCCTAATCTCAGCTTGTTACCTATATAAAAGACACCTGTCCACAGAAGCAATCAATCAATCAGATTCCAAACTCTCCACCATGGCCAAGACCAAAGAGCTCTCCAAGGACGTCAGGGACAAGATTGTAGACCTGGAATGGTCTACAAGACCATCGCCAAGCAGCTTGGTGAGAAGGTGACAACAGTTGGTGCGATTATTCGCAAATGGAAGAAACACAAAATAACTGTCAGTCTCCCTCGGCCTGGGGCTCCATGCAAGATCTCACCTCGTGGAGTTGCAATGATCATGAGAACGGTGAGGAATCAGCCCAGAACTACACGGGAGGATCTTGTCAATGATCTCAAGGCAGCTGGGACCATAGTCACCAAGAAAACAATTGGTAACACACTATGCCGTGAAGGACTGAAATCCTGCACCGCCCGCAAGGTCCCCCTGCTCAAGAAAGCACATATACAGGGCCGTCTGATGTTTGCCAATGAACATCTGAATGATTCAGAGGAGAACTGATTGAAAGTGTTGTGGTCAGATGAGAACAAAATCGAGCTCTTTGGCATCAACTCAACTCGCTGTGTTTGGAGGAGGAGGAATGCTGCCTATGACCCCAAGAACACCATCCCCACCATCAAACATGGAGGTGGAAACATTATGCTTTGGGGGTGTTTTTCTGCTAAGGGGACAGGACAACTTCACCGCATCAAAGGGACGATGGACCGGGCCATGTACCGTCAAATCTTGGGTGAGAACCTTCTTCCCTCAGCCAGGGCATTGAAAATGGGTCGTGGATGGGAATTCCAGCATGACAATGACCCAAAACACACGGCCAAGGCAACAAAGGAGTGGCTCAAGAAGAATCCCATTAAGGTCCTGGAGTGGCCTAGCCAGTCTCCAGACCTTAATCCCATAGAAAATCTGTGGAGGAAGCTGAAGGTTCGAGTTGCCAAACGTCAGCCTCGAAACCTTAATGACTTGGAGAAGATCTGCAAAGAGGAGTGGAACAAAATCCCTCCTGAGATGTGTGCAAACCTGGTGGCCAACTACAAGAAACGTCTGACCTCTGTGATTGCCAACAAGGGTTTTGCCACCAAGTACTACGTCATGTTTTGCAGAGGGGTCAAATACTTATTTCCCTCATTAAAATGCAAATCAATTTATACAAATTTTGACATGCGTTTTTCTGGATTTTTGTTTTGTTATTCTGTCTCTCACTGTTCAAATAAACCTACCATTAAAATTATAGACTGATCATGTCTTTGTCAGTGGGCAAACGTATAAAATCAGCAGGGGATCAAATACTTTTTTCCCTCACTGTATATGAAGATTTGTAAAAAAAAATTGTAGCCAATATTGGGCCCTGATTGGATTTAATCTTCATGTCATGGATTGCTTGTTCATGTCGCTATTGTTACAGATAGCCAATGAGCCTCCGCCTCTGAGGGAGATCCCGCCCGACTGCAGTCCCTTCACTGCTGATGTCATAAAGGCGGGACTACAGAAGGAGCCAACCAAGAGGGCCTCCGCTTCGGAGCTCAAGGGAAGAGCAGCCAGAGCTCTGAGAGAAGGTGAGGGGGTAGCACCGCCACTGTTTTTAGATCAGTTCTTAGATGTTAAAAACTGGCTGTTAACCATGTTCATGTGAATACTGGCTAACCAACCTACTGCTTTTAGATCAGTCCTTAGATGTTATAACTTTGTTATAACTGACTAACAACCCTACTGTGTGCCTGTAGTGGGAGGACTCAGCAGCCCCATCAGAGGGTCCTATAAGGAGCCACTACAGATAGATGACAGCCCCAGCCAGTCTAGCCAGCCCCGGCCTCCCTTCAGCAGCGACACCTGCTCTGAGGAGAGCCCTGAGCTATGGCTGGAATCCATGAACCCAGGGGGGAAGGAGATGAACAATGATGATGAGGAGGAGGAGGAAGGCAGTGAAGAGACAACCTCACCTCCAGACTCACCTCGCTCTCTACTGACACAACTCCATGAATGGCAAAATCCCAAGATGGCCGACGTCACCTCCACCGTGTCCGAGCTTGAACTGCGCAAACTGGAGAGAGGTGAGGGTTGTTACAACATTCTGCGTGTTTTCTGTCTGTCAGTCTATGTATCTAAGTAAATTTTACTTGATGTGTATCTGTGTGTCTACGGTATATCAAGTCAAGTCAACTCTTCTGTTCTTAACACTCTTCTTTTGCTGTGTTTGTCTGCAGAGTTCTACCTGACCAGTCTGTCTCAGCTGCACTCAGCTGAAACCCAGGAACAGCTACTGTCCTGCCTGAGCAGCAGTGACTGTTACTCCAACAGGGACTTATGGGACAGAAAGGTAACCCACCATATAATATGGCCAGATGTAGGGTGTGTAATGTGTTTCTGTGGGTTGGTAGCACATTCACAGTTCTCCCACTCCCTGACTACAGGACTCTGGCCGTTGGTCCATCAGCCCAGGTGATGACCTCAGCTCTGGCGTGTTCTCCTACAACAGCCAACCGGACGGACAGATTCTCAGTATGGACTGGCTGGTTCACCATACACACCTGTCTCCACCACGATGCTTTGAGGGTGAGTGACATCTCTCATTATCTGACCCTGGGGCTTATTCAGGAAGGTGCTACAGCTCAGGATGTTTAGATAAGAGTATCATGTCATATTGTTTCCCACTGGATAGGACCTCATTCCCATAGAGATCTCATTCATGCTGAGAAAGCATGTGCAGTGCACTCATGTTGGCTGTTTCTCTGCACTGTGATTGGCTCAGGAGTTGACGTCTGCATCACGGACGTAAATGGGCAAAGCATCCGGATCCGAGAGAAACGCAGGGTGAAGGTGGGCCACATCGCCACGGGAATCAGCGACCAGGTGAGTGAGGGCTCATGGCTGACTTTTCAATCTGCCTCCCCTGACAACAAGTAATAATATAATAATAAATAATAATAAGTCATGCACGATCATATTGTCCTTTTCACAGGCGACTACACACAGGCCTTCATTACACCACCATAAACCTTACACCTGTGTGTCTCTCTCTCCCCTAGATCTCTGAGAGGGTGTTCACCATGGAGACTCAGGAGCGGGAGCCAGTGGCCCATGATGAGGAGGTGCAGGACTCTGGCCTTCTGCTCCGCTGTGTCCCTGCTCCTGACTACAGTCAGACCTGGAGATGGAGGGTCAAGGAGGGGGTGCTGGAGACTCGTGACTGAGCCATCAACTCTCCCCATTCAATACCAGTCTCATCAAGCATCAGGACTGTGGACTCACTCCTGTACGCCGGTCTTAAAGCCTATCCTGCTTTTTATCAAACTGTGCGTTATGTATAAAGGGACAAACGTCATGCGTTTCTTATAAATGGATATCCCTGTAAATTACAGAAGCACACACGTGTGGTGTTTGTGTTTTCTATACAAGAGAAAATGAGTTAATGTGAATCAGCTACAACTGCCTTTTCTCAATGTAAGGTATGGAAAGTCTGACAGTGCTGTAGACCTAGCATAATTTTATACAGCCGTCCAAAAATGACAGCCCTTTTCTGTACTTAGAGCACACCCAACAATAGCACTGAGCCAGTAGGATGTTAACATCTCAACCCTGTGTACCTTACAGTAACATTTTACATTTACCTCATTTAGCAGACGCTCTTATCCAGAGTGACTTACAGTTAGTGAGTGCATACATTTTCATACTGGCCCCCCGTGGGAATCAAACCCACACATGGAATCATGTAATGAAATAAAAGCTGTACTCAAGTATTTCATATCCATTTGCTGATCAATAGGAAAGAATCATTCAAATCCAATTACTACTAGACATATTCTTTAGATATAATACTTCCAGTTGAGAATTAGTGTACAAGCAGGAAGTAGTTTTAAATTAATCTCATTCACACCCCACAATCTTTCCCAAAATATGTAACAGCTAAATAATGATCGCAATCCATAAAATGTTTTTATTTTATGTTCATATTACAACATACAAAACAAACAAGTGTCACACAAAAAGATTATTTTGGGAGACATGAGTTTAGAAAAGATATAGAAAAAGTGGAAGAATGTGAACAATATCAAAGCAATTTATTGTAGAAGATTTTTAAAAAAAAACAAAGTTTCCTTATTTGTTTACACATTAACAAGGTTTATAAAAAGAGCATTTGATTGTGAAGGATTATGGTATGGGCTACTTTTAAATAGCCCACCATAGAATACAGTACTTTGAACACTTTGCTGAGAGAGGGGTAAACATCTGTGAGAGAAGGACAGTGCTGTGTGTGTCTGCAGTAGAATTGCACATACACACGTACCTGCAACATCTGTTGATCCTATGATCACACGTAAATGCTCACAGACACACACCCCAAAATGCATACTCTAGCAGAGATACCATGATGAGACGCACAGAGAGAATGATCATAGGAAAAAGGAGAGACTCAATGGAAGAGAAGTAACAAAAATAAAGCGCAGCAGGAAAGCATAGGAGATTCTCATGGCTAACCTGAGGACAAGAATATTCAGTTCATGTCAGAAGACTTAAGCAACAAAATGTCATTCAGCGACTTGTTTGTAAGAAATAAAAAATAAATAAATTAAAAGATGTGCCCTGGCTGAGTCTGTACACATCCTTCTCTCCTGTGTGTGCAGTCAAGAGCTGCTCACATTTTCAGCTGTGTAGGGAACAGAGGTAAGAACTTTGAATCTGACTCTCAATCCTTTGCCATGGATGAATGGAGGGCAGGAAAGAGGAGTGGTTGATCAGGTTCCAAACATTGGTGTTTTTCCATCCCCCAACTCTATTTCTCACCTTTTCCTTCACCAGAAACACTTCCCATTCACCCTCACATCATGTCTGCCTCTACTACCCAGTTTCCCTCCCAGTCTTCTGTCCTTCCCTCTGTCATTTCTTCTCTCAGGCTCTCCTCCCCCTCACATCTTGCGGATGACCAGCACAGTGGTAAGAACTCCAGCGAGGAACACCCCCACAGTCTGCCAGGTGGGAGTGCCAAAGTAGGAACGGATTCCCTCCTAAGAATTAGGAAAAGAGAGACACCATTGTCTTCAACCATCATCACAATTTCTAAAAAGACATTTATTAAAAAACATGTATGAAACCTTTAAGTCAATGTGGGGAAAGCACATCTACTGATTCCTTACCCAGCCACCCTGCTCCGTAATCCAGCTGATCACATGATCTCGCAGGTAGTCTGTGGCCCAGCTGATAATGGTTCTGATGATGTCGGGGACCTTGGTCAACAGAGCCTGAGGAGAAAAAGACAGTGTCATCTTATTATACAATGAATAAGCCAACTCATCCCAAAACTTATCAAATGCAATTCCATTCCAAACAAGCGCAACGGTTGACAAACAGGGAATCTATTCCGACTGTTTCCTTTGTCTAACGGAGGACAAGAGAGCGAGAGATTGATTAAGAGAAAGGAGAGCTAAATAAAATACTACCACTGCCAACCCTCACCTTGATGACCAGCCGACAGGCAAAGTAGAAGAGTGCCACCACCCTGCCCCAGTTGAACTTCCCATCAGAGAAGATCTCACAGGCCACTCTCATAAAAACCTCCTGGCTGGGCTGGAGTGCAGAATCATTTAACATACTGAAGGGAAAAACAAGAGAGATGCTCTGAGTATTGCACAAACTCCAGAGGTCAATTCAAAGTGATTATCTATTCAAGCAAAGAGCTGGAGTCCCTTTCTAAGTCCTTGGTTGAAGATACCTTTGGAGCTGTGCATTGCCATCCAGCTCATCCCCAATCTGCTGCAGGCACAGGGCCAGTTTCTTGTGGTTGGGGTCACACAGCTCACTCCCGCCCAACTGGGTCCGTGACACTGACAACTGAGTACTGCTGTCACCATGGCGACGAACCCGCTCGTAGATGAAACTGCAAAGAGAGGGTCACGGGTAAACAACCAGCTAGTATATGTGATCCGTGTCTGATTAATCAGGCTGTAACGAACAATTAATTGGTATATACAGCCTGAAACAGAGTGCAAAATCTTATAAAATGTTCAGCCAGAATGTTGAATAAAATGACATTTTAACTTACTCTACTGGTTGTCTGTGCGGTTTGTTCTCCAGACGCTCGAAATTTGAGACCAAATATCCATGGTAAAGTATTGTTTTACCAGACTTTAGAGAGCTGGTAGGTTTGCCACCGCCAGCTGAATGCGAGCAACGTTTGGCTATTGTTTACATATTGTGCAAGTATGTCGCATCCGTCAGTAGATTGAAAATAGACACCAGCAATACAAGCCAACAGAACCATATACCTACCGGCTCTCTAAAAATTTGGTAAACAATACTTCCCTGTGGTTGATCAGGTCCAAACGTTTTTTTGGGGGGTGGGGGATTTTCCCCTTTTTTCTCCCCAATTTCGTGGTATCCAATTGGTAGTTACAGTCTTGTCCCATCGCTGCAACTCCCGTACGGAGAGGCGAAGGTCGAGAGTCGTGCGTCCTCCGAAACACAACCCAACCGAGCTGCACTGCTTCTTGACACAGTGCCCGCTTAACCCGGAAGCCAGCCGCACCAATGTGTTGGAGGAAACACTGTACACCTGGCGACCGCGTCAGCGTGCACTGCGCCCGGCCCGCCACAGGAGTCGCTAGTGCGCGATGGGACAAGAACATCCCTGCCGGCCAAACCCTCCCCTACCCTGGACGACGCTGGGCCAATTGTGCGTCGCCCCATGGGTCTCCCGGCCCTGTGGATATTTTGTCTCAAATTTCGAGTGGCTGAAGGACAAACCGCACAGAAAACCGGTAAAGTAAGTACAAATGTAATTGTATTCAACATTCTGGCTTGTAAGGAACATTTACAAGATTTGGCACTCCAATGTTTCAGGCTATATATACCAATTCAATTGTGTATTACAGCCTGATTAGCCTAATCAGACAAATGTGAATAAAGATCAAATTCAGGAGTAAACAAGAAGGTATACTCACTCTGTCAGTAATGTTTTTCCCAGTTCTAGCACCTGATCAGTTCCATTACCTGAGAACACAAAGCAGCACTGGACTTAGAGTATTTCCAGGACATAAACCAAGGGCAGGTAGAGGCAATTTAAGACTAGGCCTATGTGTGGGTAGTCTGGCTAACACCTAACTCTCGAAGTCCTCCTGACAGTGAGTCACTTGGGTAGCGTCAGCCAGGTATGCGTGTCTGTCATATCAAAACTGGGCAGTCATAAATATAATAGCTAATGAAGCATGCATGTCTCATGACCAGTTCAGTTGTGAAATCCAAAGATTAGGGCCTAATGATTTTATTTCAATTGACTGATTTCCTTATATGAACTCGGTAAAATCGTTGAAAGTTGCCTTTATATTTTTGTTCAGTAATCGTTTATTTTTACCCAGGTTTGAGAGTTTTGGAATGTGAAACAAAGTTAAAACACCATTTGGCTCAATTTCTAAAGTTGAGTTGTCAGCTGACATTAGTAACAGTTGGACTGAACCAAAGATGTACTACAGTTAGGCTAGTTGCCAATGATGTTTCTGGAATGACAACAATTAAATATGAAGACTCGTTGGACTGCCACCTCTGGCCCTCCCACCCCTACAGCCCAGTCCAAGCTCTTCTGTGTCCTGGCACCCCAATGGTGGAACCAGCTTCCCCCTGAAAACAGCAGAGTCCCTGCCCCTTAAAAGAGTACCTTAAATAATCCCACAGCTACTTTAGAGGAAAAATGTACTTACTATGACTGTGATATGTGGTTGTCCCACCAAGCTATCTTAAGATGAATGCACTAACTGTAAGTCACTCTGGATAAGAGCGTCTGCTAAATGAATAAAATGTAAAAACACAGCTAGCTAGCACTCACATACTAGTCTGACTAATCAGTCTGTAATACACAATTAATTGGTATATACAGCCTGAAACGAATGCCTGCAAAATCGTGTAAATGTTCCTTGCCAGAATGTTGAATAAAATTACATTTTAACTTACTATACAGATTGTCTGTGTGGTTTGTCATTCATCTGCTCGAGATTTGAGACAAAATATCCCCAGGAAAGTATTGTTTAACCGACTTTTTAGAGAGCCGGTAGGTATATGGTTCAGTACCAAGTTAAAGGTTGTTTTATATAGGATATTTTATTTCACCTTTATTTAACCAGGTAAGCCAGTTGAGAACAAGTTCTCATTTACAACTGCGACCTGGCCAAGATAAAGCAACGCAGTGCGATAAAAACAACACAGAGTTACATATGGAATAAACAAAAACGTACAGTCAATAACACAATAGAAAATCTATATACAGTGTGTGCAAATGTAGTAAGTTATGGAGGTAAGGCAATAAATAGGCCATAGTGGAAAATAATTACAATTTAGTATTAAGACTGGAGTGATAGATGTGCAGAAGATGATGTGCAAATAGAGATACTGGGGTCCCAATTTGTAAGTTGCTCTGGATAAGAGCGTCTGCTAAATTACTTAAATGTTAAATGTAAATCTGAGAAGTAGTTGGTGAACCAGGCAAGGCAGTCAGTTGAGAAACCAAGGCTATTTAGTCTGCCAATAAGAATGTGGTGATTGACAGAGTCAAAAGCCTTGGCCAGGTCGATGAAGACGGCTGCACAGTACTGTATTTTATCAATCACGGTTATTATATCGTTTAGGACCTTGAGCTGCATAGCGGAGAAAGTACGGTGGGATTCGAAGTGGTCGGTGATCTGTTAGTTAACTTGGCTTTCAAATACTTTAATAGATCAAACATGGAGGTGGAAACATTATGCTTTGGGGGTGTTTTTATGCTAAGGGGACAGGACCACTTCACCGCATCAAAGGGACAATGGACGGGGCCATGTACCCTCAAATCTTGGGTGAGAACCTCCTTCCCTCAGCCAGGGCATTGAAAATAAGTTGTGGATGGGTATTCCAGCATGACAATGACCCAAAACACACGGCCAAGGCAACAAAGGAGTGGCTCAAGAAGAAGCACATTAAGGTCCTGGAGTGGCCTAGCCAGTCTCCAGACCATAATCCCATAGAAAATCTGTGGAGGGAGCTGAAGGTTCGAGTTGCCAAACGTCAGCCTCGAAACCTTAATGACTTGGAGAAGATCTGCAAAGAGGAGTGGGACAAAATCCCTCCTGAGATGTGTGCAAACCTGGTGGCCAACTACAAGAAACGTCTGACCTCTGTGATTGCCAACAAGGGTTTTGCCACCAAGTACTAAGTCATGTTTTGCAGAGGGGTCAAATACTTATTTCCCTCATTAAAATGCAAATCAATTTATAACATTATTGACATGAATTTTCTGGATTTTGTTGTTGTTATTCTGTCTCTCACTGTTCAAATAAACCTACCATTAAAATTATAGACTGATCATGTCTTTGTCAGTGGGCAAACGTACAAAATCAGCAGGGGATCAAATACTTTTTTCCCCTCACTGTAGGTCTGTAACAGCTTGGATCTAGAGTGTCACCCCCTTTGAAGAGGGGGATGACCGCGGCAGCTTTCCAATCTCTGGGGATCTCAGACGATACGAAAGAGAGGTTGAACAGGCTAGTAATAGGGGTTGTGACAATTTCGGCGGCTAACTTTAGAAAGAAAGGGTCCAGATTGTCTAGCCCAGCTGATTTGTAGGGGTCCAGATTTAGCAGCTCTTTCAGGACATCAGCTATCTGAATTTGGGTGAAGGAGGAGAGGGGGGGGGTGCAAGTTGCAGTGGAGGGTGCAGAGCTGGTGGCCGGGGTAGGGGTAGCCAGGTGGAAAGCATGGCCAGCTGTAGCAAAATGTTTATTGAAATTCTCGATTATCGTAGATTTATCGGTGGTGACAGTGTTTCCTAGCCTCGGTGCAGTGGGTAGCTGGGAGGAGGTGCTTTTATTCTCCATGGATATTCAGTTCTCTCGTCAATAGCTATTGAACCAAGCATGCCATGACAATGAAAGTGGTATATTCTAAATCAGGGGAGGATGGAGAACAATCCAGAGCTTTTTGTGTGAATTTCTCATTTTCTTTTCAGATTTCAATATTCAAAATAATTTTTAAGATATACACAAAAAACGTGTTCTCCATCCTCACCTGATTCAGAATATACAGCATTCATTGTCATGGCATGCTTGGTTCAATAGCTATTGACGAGAGAAAACCGAATATCAAATATAAAACAAACGTTTGGGCTGTATATGTATATACCAATTAATTGTTTATTACAAGCTAGCTTGTTGAGTAACGTAAGCAAGTTAACTATAACACTTTCCCCCAGTTGAACAGCTAGATAACAATAATTGAGCTTTCCTAGATAGCTAGTTTACATAGTTATTTGTACGGACATGTTTCAGAGATGGGATGGCTGGGTGTTATGTTAGCTAGTTAACGTTAGCTTGCTAGCTCAACACGCCTGCGTCCAACCGGCAACAAACCTAAATTCTTTAACAAGTTAGCTAAATCGTGACAAATACTTTTCGGTCCGGCTCACGATAATTACGATATCAGTGGCACGATTCCGTATCGATTGTGTTTATCATAGTTAGGTCACTTACCTGAATCGCCTCCTCCCGACGGCGCTGCCATGTTGTACTAAGATTACTTCGAGTCTGCGTCCGCCTGCAGTCATGTGACATATGTTTACGGCAACAGAGGAGTGGCTTCGTTTAGCTCGTTCACAAATGCCAGCTTGCAAGAGCGCTATGCAGAGGGCCGTTAACATTTATGAGTAGTCAACTTACAAAAAACTAAGACTATAGCAAGTTTAATCAGCAATGAATACAAACATTTTGACACAAATGGAAACCCAACATTCCGCTTCTGCCTTGCCCTTCCTTAAACGTCATATCCTGTCCTTTCTGACTTCTGTCCGTCGCGCGCATGCTTAGTTCTCTTTACGACTCGGCTGGCAAAGATGGCGGACGCACAAGTACGTTCAGCAAAACAGCGTGGTGAAATGAATGTGCTTTTTTGATAGAAAAATAAACGTCATGTCATCGTAGCGTACAATATATAGCGTTAGTTAAGCGAAGAGCACGCGATTGAAGTTTCTCAAAGTAGACTGGGCCCTTAATTGTATGATCGACTTCGACTATCGCGTTACCGGCCCTGTGCTGTGGAGCGCATTGTCGGAGATCCAGCTGGGAAGTTTGCTAACTAGGCCTTTACAGCATTGGGCCTATGCTTCATCTGTAGTTGATAATCGAAGTTTACTGACTTATGGCAGAGTTGATAGCTTAAACATGTCATTGCTAGATAAATGTATGCGCGAGAAGCTCGGTTAGTTTTTACACTAACTTGGCTGGCTACCTAGCCAGATCACCCTTTCGTTGGCTAAACTCAACTGTCGTACCTGCTTTGTCTACTTTCTCAACTTGAATATTCCAAATGTTATGGACTTATTATGGATATTGTTTTAGCTACCTAGTTATTTTGCTTTACTTTTGATTCCAGCCAGATCTAACTTTTTTGAACTTTCATTATGGCCAGCTATATAAATTGTAAATCTTGCTAGTGCATCCTTTCAGATCTACTGCTTATCTGTTCATGAACGTACAATATTTTGTAAACATGAATGCACAGTAGTCAGGTCTATTTCAAAACGCACATTGATTTACCTGCAAATGATGTTTTTCTCACGATGGTCTTCCTAGCCTATGAGGCACTGACGACACTGCCTAATGGCAACACTGATGCAGTGTAACTTGAAGATGGGTCTTTTCAGATCCATGATGGAGCCACAGATTAGTCTCTGCATAGATACATTTTTTGACCTGGTGTTATGTCTTCCACACAGACCGAGAGGGCTTATCAGAAGCAGCCGACCATCTTCCAGAACAAGAAGCGTGTTCTTGTTGGTGAAGGTGGCAAGGTGGCCAAGGAGAAGCTCCCACGCTACCACAAGAGTGTTGGGCTAGGCTTCAAAACCCCAAGAGAGGTAACTTACCCAACGACCTAAACTATCCTGAAACTACAGTTGTGCTCCTTATGGGCAGTATGATTAATTTGTTGAATTGTCTTTGGAATACATGACACCGGCTTGTCTAGTAGTCAATTAGCTTGTATGGTTAACTGCTCTTTGCAAGCTGCAAATGATGTTTTTCTCACGATGGTCTTCCAAGCCTGAGGCTCTGACGACACTGCCTAATGGCAACACTGATGCAGTTATAGAAGGGCTTTTGGCATCTATACTGAACAAAAATATAGATGCAACATGTTTCATGCGCTGAAATAAAAGATCCCAGAAATGTTCCATATGCACAAAAAGCTTATTTCTCTAAAATGCACAAATTTGTTTATATCCCTGTTAGTGAGGATTTTTCCTTTGCCAAGATAATCCATCCACCTGTGGCATATCAAGAAGCTGATTAAACAGCATGATCATTACACAGGTGCACCTTGTGCTGGGTACAATAAAGGGCCACTAAAATGTGCAGTTTTGTCACAACACAATGCAACGGATGTCTCATGTTTTGCGGGAGCGTGCAATTGGCATGCTGACAGCCGGAATGTCCACCAGAGCTGTTGCCAGAATTGAATGTTCATTTCTCTACCATAAGCCACCTCCAACGTCGTTTTAGACAATTTGGCAGTGCGTCCAACTGGCCTCACAACTGCAGACCACGTGTAACCACGCCAGCCCAGGGCCTCCACATCCAGCTTCTTCACCTGTGGGATCGTCTGAGACCAGCCACCCAGGCAGCTGATGAAACTGAGGAGTATTTCTGTCTAAAGCCCTTTTGTGGGGTAAAACTAATTCTGATTGGCTGGGTCTGGCTCCCCAGTGGGTGGGCCTATGCCCTCCCAGGCCCACCCATGGCTACGCCCCTGTCCAGTTGTGAAATCCAAAGATTAGGGCCTAATGATTTTATTTCAATTGACTGATTTCCTTATATGAACTAACTCTGTAAAATCGTTGAAATTGTTGAATGTTATCTTATATTTTTGGTCAGTAATAGTTTATTTTTACCCAGGTTTGAGAGTTTTGGAAGGAGTTGCAGAGAACCTAACATATGTTGTTTCAACAGGCTATTGATGGCACTTACATTGACAAGAAATGCCCCTTCACTGGAAATGTCTCCATCCGTGGTCGTATCCTCTCCGGTTAGTCTTTAAATTTACTTGCTGTTCATTGTTTTTGGTTTGGATGTAAAACTTTATTACCAACTGTTTTCTCACTGAACTGCAAATGATGTTTTTCTCACGATGGTCTTCCAAGCCTTCTGGTTATGACGACAACGCCTTATGGCATTACTGATGCAACGACCCAAACCCCCTGCTCACCCTATTCAACGGTCTACTCCTATCCCTAGATCAGTGCTTAGATGTATTCTAAGATTGACCACACATTGACCTGATTCTGCCTTTTCAGGCGTGGTGACCAAGATGAAGATGCAGAGGACCATCGTCATCAGACGTGACTACCTGCATTACATCCGCAAATACAACCGATTTGAGAAGAGGCACAAGAACATGTCTGTCCATCTCTCACCTGCCTTCAGGTAAGAGGATCCCTGTCATACTGTTGAGCCTTTTCAACCTCTCTTCCTTACACATGTTTTTTTCTCCAAATTAAATTGCTCGCCAGGCTGTATCCAATAATGGGCTCATCATGCCTAGCTAGTGGCTTTCCTATTGCAAGGATGGCTGTAATTCACTGTTACACTACAGTTGAAGTTCCATTGAATCAGATTTGATGTTGGCTGCAAATGATGTTTTTCTCACGATGGTCTTCCAAGCCCATGTGGCTCTGACGACACTGCCTAATGGCAACACTGATGCAGTTTGAACCTACCTATCACATGAGATGGCACAGTGGTTTCCAGGTTTCTCAATTTCCCTTGGATTATCTTGACGTTGTCATACCTTGAACAGCAGTGCCTTGGTCACTTCAGGATTATGCTCCAATAATGCCCTCCTTTTCTCTGCAGAGACGTCTCGGTCGGAGACATAGTTACCGTCGGAGAGTGCAGACCCCTCAGCAAGACTGTGAGGTTCAACGTCCTCAAGGTCACAAAGGCCGCTGGAGCCAAGAAGCAGTTCCAGAAGTTCTAATCTAGGATGTGCAGGAGATGAGACCAATTGACAAGAAGGCTTCCTTTCTAGGCTGACCTGCTCTGTAGTATCTGAAATAAAGAAAATGTTCTGTTTCTTGGTCTTCTGGCCTGTCTTTTGTTAAATACTTATGTTTGTACAATTCAAAGGGGAACCTTTGCCAATTAACTGAAAAGGAGCGATTTGTGTAATGGCTGAGGCTGATTTATTGTGCGTTCTGCCGGACAATTCTCTCCGTTGTCCATCCATCAACTGATGACTCCCATTCAAAAACCATTGGCTCAGCCATAATTTTCAGAAAATCTTGTGTTCCTGTAGCCTTGTGAACGTGAAATCGGTATCTCGAACCGCAGGACTGTTTGCCCATCTATTTTAAAGCCTGAATCTTTTTTCTTGGAGTAGAAATGGAACTCCAGCACAGTGATCTAGCTTTTCCACAAATGTATAGGTTCTTAGATAAATGTAATTGTATACAAGATCCATTAAATTGTGGACCGTCAAGAAAAATCAGCCTAGGGCTCCCGAGTGGCGCAGCGGTCTAAGGCACTGCATCTCAGTGCTTGAGGCATCACTACAGACCCCCTGCTTCGATTCCAGGCTGTATCACAACCGGCTGTAATTGGGGAGTCCCATAGGGCGGCGCACAATTGGCCCAGCGTCGTCCGGGTTTGGCCGTTGTAGGCAGTCATTGTAAATAAGAATTTATTCTTAACTGACTTGCCTAGTTAAATAAAAATAAGTGTAAAAATAAATACTTTTTCCTTTCGGTATATTCATTAGTCAGTGTTGCGAAAATGTTTTGCAGTGGAAACATTTACACCCAACACGTTTTGCAACAACTAGTTTCTATTGGAGACATTCGGGTAGGTCCTCCCAGTTTGTTTTGTTCCTAGAGTAAACTGTTTCTGTTGCAAAACGTTTTGCAACAGAATTGGAGTAATGAATGTACCCATTGTAACACTTAGGGATGTATTAATTACGTCTTGCAATGAAACGTTCACTCTAGCAATGAAACAGGCCTACCTCAATCTGTCCAATAAACTAGCTTTTGCTGCAAAACGGTTTCTGTTTGGCGTAAATGCTTTCTGTTGCAGAACGTTTTGCAACAGAATTGGCATGAATGCACCCTAGATCAAGTTAAACTTAGGCCTACTTTAGTTTTATTGTAATGGGATCTGATAATCAAAGCTGGACGTATTCAAATCTGAGCCTGCAGAGTATTGCTGGTTTTCTATTTTACCTGATAATTAATTGCGCCCACCTGGTGTCCCAGGTCTAAGTCATAGAGACTGAAGAGGAAGCGAGACAAGAGTGCCCCATGGTGGGGTGGGGTTATGGCATGGACAGGCATAAGCTACGGGCAACGAACACAATTGCATTTTATCTATGGCAATTTTAATGCACAGAGATACTGTGACGAGGTCCTGAGGCCCATTGTCGTGCCATTCATTCCGCCGACATCAACTCATGTTTCAGCATGATAATGCACGGCCCAATGTCGCAAGGATCTGTACACAATTCCTGGAAGCTGAAAATGTCCCAATTTTTGTTCAGTCTATATATAGCCTACACTGACTGTACAAAACATTAAGAACACCTTCCTAATATTGAGTTTTGCCCACAGAATAGTCTCAATTCGTCGGGGCATGGACGCTACAAGGTGTCGAAAGCGTTCCAGAGGGATGCTGGCCCATGTTGGCTCCAATGCTTTCCACAGTTGTGTCAAATTGGCTGGATGACCATTCTTGATACACACAGGAAACTGTTGAGCGTAAAAAACCTAGCAGCGTAGCAGGTCTTGACACAATCCAGTGTGCCTGGCACCTACTACCGTACCCCGTTCAAAGGCACTTCAATCTTTTGTCTTGCCCATTCACTCTCTGAATGGCGCATTCACTCTCTGAAAGGCTTAAAAATCCTTCTTTAACTTGACTCCTCCCCTTCATCTATACTGATTGAAGTGGATTTAACAAGTGACATCAATAAGGGATCATAGCATTCACCTGGTCAGTCTGTCATGGAAAGTGCATGTTTTGTACACTCAATGTATATTTATTTATATACTCTACACATCATTGGGCTCAACAGTCAAATATACTTTCCTGCAACCCGCCTCACCCAATGTGGAACGGATTCTATTATTTCTTTATTTTTATCAAGAACATACGGCTGAAACTAGCCAGCTAGCCAGCTAACTAGCTACATGCTATTAGCCACCGTTAGCGGTCTTCACCACTGTCCGTGGCCTGCACTACCTACCAGCCAGCTCTAGCCCGGACAATTATCGGCCAGTCTGCACAGCGTGCTTTCAACCCAGATATCGGATTTTCTGCCGGAATCACTGGACCTAAACACCGGACCATGGCAACTATCTAGCTGCAACCGAATGGCTGTTATTGGCTAATCACCACTTCCCGACGTACCAGTTAGCCTTGAGCTTGAGCCAGGCCCATCTCCCGGCTATCTACCTCTCTGTCAACCGGACGGGACCTCCTAGTGTCGACACGGAGCCCCGCCGATCCATCACGACTGGTCTGCCGATGTAATCGTCTGATGTGGTTTCAACAGGCTTCCCTTTGCGACGACCACGAAGATCCATCTGCTAGCCCCGGCCCACTAGCACGCGCAATCAACAGCCGTTCCTCCTGCTCGCCTGTGCTTTAGCAGCCTACGATCTGCTCCCGGACTTACTTAGTGCTGTTCACTGGACCTTATGATCACTCAGCTACACAGCTAATGCCTGCTGGACTGTTCCTTTACACGGTACCCCATCCTGTTTATCTGTTTAGCCTCAGCCCAAACTTTCGTCGCCAATACCAGTTGTTGTCTTAGCCCTCTTGAATAACACCTGTGATTGCATTATGCCTCTCTCCCATGTCAATATGCCTAGCCTATTGCTGTTTGGGTTAGTTCTTATTATACAATTTCACTGTAGAGCCCCAAGTTCAGCTCAACCAGCCTCAGAGAGCTCCTTTGTCCCACCCCCCATACACGTGGAGACCGGCTCAATCGGTACCTCCAGCGATGCTATCTCTTTCATAGTTACCCAATGCTTAGGTGTACCTCCACTGTACTCATATCCTTGTCTGTACATAATGCCCTGAATGTATTCTACAACGGCCGGAAATCTGCCCCTTTTATTTTCTGTACCCAACGCACTGGAAGACCAGTTCTTAAAGCCTTTAGCCGTATCCTTATTCTATTCCTCCTCTGTTCCTCTGGTGATGTAGATGTTAACCCAGGCCCTGTAGCCCCCAGTATCACTCCTACCCCCCAGGCGCTATCATTTGTTGACTTCTGTCACCGTAAAAGCCTTGGTTTCTTGCATGTTAACATCAGAAGTCTCCTCCCCAAGTTTGAGTTATTCACTGCGTTAGCACACTCTGCCAACCCGGATGTTCTAGCAGTGTCTGAATCTTGGCTTAGGAAGGCCACCAAAAATTCAGTAATTTCCATTCCGAACTACAAAATTTTCCGTCTAGATAGAACTGCCAAAGGGGGCGGAGTTGCAATCTACTGTAGAGGTCTGTGCCCAAACAGTTTGAGCTCCTACTTCTAAAAATCCACCTTTCCAGAAATAAGTCTCACTGTTGCCGCTCAGCCCCCAGTTGTGCCCTGGACACCATATGTGAATTGCTTGCCCCCCATCTATCCTCAGAGTTCATACTGCTTGGTGACCTAAACTGGGATATGCTTAACACCCCGCCGGTCCTACAATCTAAACTAGATGCCCTCAATCTCACACAAATTATCAAGGAACCTACCAGGTACAACACTAAATCCGTAAACATGGGCACCCTCATAGATATCATCCTGACTAATTGACCCTCTAAATACACCTCCGCTGTCTTCAACCAGGATCCCAGCGATCACTGCCTCATTGCCTGCATCCGTAATGGGTCCGCAGTCAAACGACCACCCCTCATCACTGTCAAACGCTCCCTAAAACACTTCAGCGAGCAGGCCTTTCTAATTGACCTGGCCCGGGTATCCTGGATGGATATTGACCTCATTCCGTCAGTAGAGGATGCCTGGATGTTCTTCAAAAGTGCTTTCCTCTCCATCTTAAATAAGCATGCCCCATTCAAAAAATTCAGAACTAAGAACAGATATAGCCCCTGGTTCACCCCAGACTTGACTGCCCTTGACCAGCACAAAAACATCCTGTGGTGTACCGCATTAGCATCGAACAGCCCCCGCGATATGCAACTTTTCAGGGAAGTCAGGAACCAATATACACAATCAGTTAGGAAAGCAAAGGCTAGCTTTTTCAAAGAGAAATTTGCATCCTGTAGCACTCCAAAAAAACTCCAAAAAGTTTTGGGACACTGTAAAGTCCATGGAGAATAAGAGCACCTCCTCCCAGGTACCCACTGCACTGAGGCTAGGAAACACTGTCACCACCGATAAATCTACGATAATCGAGACTTTCAATAAGCATTTTGCTACAGCTGGCCATGCTTTCCACCTGGCTACCCCTACCCCGGCCACCAGCTCTGCACCCTCCGCTGCAACTTGCCCATGCCCCCCCCTGCTTCTCCTTCACCCAAATTCAGATAGCTGATGTCCTGAAAGAGCTGCTAAATCTGGACCCCTACAAATCAGCTGGGCTAGACAATCTGGACCCTTTCTTTCTAAAATTAGCCGCCGAAATTGTCACAACCCCTATTACTAGCCTGTTCAACCTCTCTTTCGTATCGTCTGAGATCCCCAGAGATTGGAAAGCTGCCACGGTCATCCCCCTCTTCAAAGGGGGTGACATTCTAGATCCAAGCTGTTACAGACCTACAGTGAGGGAAAAAAGTATTTGATCCCCTGCTGATTTTGTACGTTTGCCCACTGACAAAGACATGATCAGTCTATAATTTTAATGGTAGGTTTATTTGAACAGTGAGAGACAGAATAACAACAACAAAAAATCCAGAAAATTCATGTCAATAATGTTATAAATTGATTTGCATTTTAATGAGGGAAATAAGTATTTGACCCCTCTGCAAAAC